CTGCCACTCAAAGCAGGACTTGGAACCCATGTTCTGTAACCTACTTCTACAGTTAGCTCAACCAGTGATGCTGAGGAGAAGCTGCAGGACTGGAGTCTTCATGGCTGCATTTCCTTCACTGCTTACTTCATGAGACCAAATCTTGAAGATGGCAATGCTAATATCATTTGTTCTTCCTTTCTGGGATGGATGTGAGGGTCGAGTGAGTAAAAAATGTGATAATAGCTGAGTTAGCTGGAGATTCTCCTCTCCACACAGAGGGTTAGGTACTGCCATTCCTTCCTCCCCCCCCCCCCACCCCCACGCTTCATCATTTTCTTGCCCCGAAGGTCATTGAACCTACACGCTCATTTGCTTAACAAACATAATGATGATTGGAAGTGTTTATTTGAATTTTTTTTCTGTTGTTGGTTGTGAGGCTTGACCTCAAGTCCTAGGCACTGTCCCTGAGCTCTACCACTTTGAACCACAGTGCCACTTCCTGTTTTCTGTGGTTATTGGAGGAAAGAATCTCACAAATTTTCCTACCCAGGCTCGTTTGGATTGGCGATTCTCAACTCTCAGCCTCCTGAGTAGCTAGGATTATAGGCATGAGCTACCAGTCGTGGCTGAGACCTATTTATAATCATGAAAAGCATAGCACCAAATTCAGGGGTGTAGAGAAAGGAGACCCCAAGACAAACCTATAGCCCCCACCTTCTCCACTCACATAGGGGCTCTGGAATGTGGGCTGGTGGCTCATGCCTATAATCCTAGCTACTTAGGGGGCTAAGATATGAAAATCATAGTTCAAAGCCAGTGCAAGCAGACAAATCTTATCTCCAAATAACCAGCAAAAAGCCAGAAGTGGAGATGTAGTTCTATTGGTAGAATGCCAGCCATGAACAGAAAAGCTGAGAATGCGGTGTAGCCAGTAATTGAAGCCATATGCTGTAGTGACATTAGAGGTGGCACTGGAAGATGAGAGGATGTAGGTCTTGGTGAACTTCCGCTTTTAGTACTGGGCTGAGGGGAAATAATCAGTTGAGGAGACTGAATCCAGAAAAATGCAGACTCAGGGAGGTAGTGGGAAGTGAGAGTCATGGGTTGTGGGAAGTCTTCTATGGGGGGAGAAGTGAATTATGGGAAAAGTTCCCATGGAAAGGGGCCCACAAGAGTTGGCATTGTAGAAGTCACTGGTGGCCTGGGAAAGGCACATCTCTACTGAGTGGTGGGAGCAGAAGCCGCATGTGACTGAGCTGCAGGAGGAAGGGAAGATCAGGTTGTATAACCAGGAACAGCATCCCGGAGCCATATTGAGCAGAGGAGCCACATGAACACACGCAAACACACACACACACACACACACACACACACACACACACACACACACACACACACGCCATGGTATGCTGTTTGGGGGATCTTAAGCCAGTCAGGATGACTGGAGACTTGAGTGGGAAAGAAAGAAGATTGGATCGGATGAGGACATCTAGGCATCGAGTGCATGCCTGTAATCTAGCACTTTGGGAGGCTGAGACAGGAGGATTACGGGTTTGGACTATATGCTTGGTTCCAAGTCAGCCTGGGTTAAATAGTAAGAGCCTGTCTAAAAGAGAAAAAGAAAAAGAATGGCCACTAATCCTAGCTACTGAAAAAGCTCTGATGATTGCAATTTGAAGCCAGGCCAGGCAGGAAACTCCCTGAGGCTCTTATGGCCTATTAACCACCAAAAAGCTGGATGTGGAGTTATAGCTCAAATGGTAGAATGCTCAGGGATAGTGCCTAGGCCCTGAGTTCAAGTCCTGGGACCAACACAAACAAACAAAAGGTCCAGGACAATACTGAAAGGGAGACACAGAATATGAACAACAGGGAATACAGAAAAAGAGAAGAAAAATAATACAATTATTTTAGTGCTTCTATAGTGCTTTCTATGGCCTAGAGGTTTTCATATATACTTCACTCAATCTTTCTTTAAACTCTGTGAATGAAGTTAGCACTCTAATCTTCCCACTGAGAAAATAGCTGTAAAAATAATTTTCTCAATGTCATGCCTCCAGTAAGCAATAGTGTTTCAACCTTCCCCCACCCCAATCTCCATGCAGGAGGATCTAGGCCAGTTCCCTGCCAGGTGCTAACATCAAGAGAGGAAGACAAGGTTGGATCTTCTCTATCCAGCACCATAGTGGCAGAGGTGCCAGCCAAAGCCAGAAAGGCTGTTCAAAAAACAAAGCCACGTGCAACAAGAAAGTAGTTCAGAAACCAAATGGTCCATCAAGAAGTCAGATTGTTAGAGCCAAGAGGGGGTTAGTCTACAACGCCAAAACCTCACCCAAGAAAGGAACCTCACCCAAGAAAGGGCCCACATGCCAAGTGTACTACAAGCTGAGAGGGAAAAAGGCCAGGAAACCTGAGCCAACATTCAAGTCCTAAAGACCTGGAGATGGAGAAGAAAGGAGGTAAATTTTGAGAGTTGAAGAACTCCACAATTTGGGCCCCTCGTTGGAAATGTTTTATGGGATGAATAGTCTTTGTGTGCGTATGTGTGTGTGTTGTGTGTATATGTGCCAATGCTGGTTATTTAACTTAGGGCCAGAGATCTTGCCCTCTTTTGCTCAAGGCTGGAGCTCTACCACTTGAACTACAACTTCATTTCTGGGTTTTTGCTGTTTAATTGGAGATAATCGTCTTAAGGACTTTTTCTGCCTAGGATTGGTGTGTACTGTGATCCTCAGATCTCAGCCTCCTGAGAAACTAGGATAACAGGCGTGACCTACCAGTACCTGGTGGAATAATTATTCTTTAAAGAAGGACCTGGAGGTTTCTGCTAGCTGCACCTCCTCCCCTGGGATCTCCTGTAGAGAGAGAGGACAGCCCAGCCCACGGGTCTATTCCCCCTGCAGAGTGGACCAAGGACAGGATCCTAGCCTGGACCTTGTAGGACTGTACTTTTTGCATTTCATTTGCATTTGGAGGAGAGGTTAAGGAATTGCCCAGGAAGGAACAGCAAGTATAGACTTGCTCCATGCTGGAGACTAGAGGAGGCAGGTGCTGCCAGACTGGCCCATAGGACAGGCTTCTCATTGGCAGAATACTTCAGGATTCATTCATCCAAACCCCTGTCTGATGTAAGTATCATGTCTCTCCTCCTCTCCAATGTGTGTGTGTGCTGGTAGTTGAGCTTGAACACTGCATCATCTCATCTTGCTTTGTTTTTTTACTTAAAGCTGGTGCTCTACTACTTGAGCCACACCTCCACTTTTGGCTTTTTTGCTAGTTAATTGGAGATAAGGGTCTCTTGAATTTGTCTGTCTGGGCTAGTTTTGACCCAGGATCCTCAGATTTCAGCCTTCTGAGTAGCTAAGATTACAGGAATGAACCACCAGCACCTGGTTCTAATTTTCTTTCTTTTTCTCTTTTCCTTTTTTTTTCTTTCTTTCCTTCTTTCTCTCTCTCCCTCTCTTTCCTTTCTCTTTTTTTCTCTTTCCTTCCTCCCTCACCCCTTTCTTTCTTTCTTTCTTCCTTCCTTTCTTCTTCATCTTTTGCTGGTCCTGGGGCTTAAACTCAGGGCTTGGGTGCTATCCTTGAGCTCTATCCTCAAGGCTAGCACTCTATTGCTTGAATGACAGCTCAACCTCTGACTTTTTTAGTGGTTAATTGGGGATAAGAATGTCACCAACTTTCCTGTCTGGCCTGGCTTTGAACTGTGATTCTCAGATCTCAGCCTCCTCAGTAGCTAGGATTACAGGAATGAGCCACTAGCACCTGATCTCCCCCACCCCCTTTCCTCCTTTGGAGCAGAGTGAGTCCTCAAAGTCACACTGTCACATGCACATGAAGACCAGAACAAACTCAAATCTGGGATTCACTTTATGCAAATTCTGTGGTTAGGGAAGCCTTCCTGCAGGAAGAAGTGCTAGGCCTGCCCAATGACAGGGCACTAGGAACAGAAGATGACAGGATCTCTAGCCACAGGCACCAAAGACACAATGCAGCAGAAACAAAAACATTTTCTAGAATGTGTGCTCTTGAGGGCCAGAAGGCTGGGCCTGGGTTCAGCAGGTGCAGCCGCGTGTGCACAGTCTCTGGGCCAGGAGTAGTGGTGCTGAGGCAAGGTGTGCAGACGATGGCGAGGGGCCTTGGTGGGCTATGGAAGGCAGTGGAGAGGAGGGGGGCGCGCCAGGGCGCGGGGCAGAGAGGTGCCTACCCCGGGTAAACCGGGAGAGGAAGCAGAAAGCATAGAGCCCTGAAAGGTGTCGGAGTTAGGCTCCGGGAGGCCCAGTGACGCCCTGAAAAGGGCGCTGGTGACCTGTTCCCATCTGCAGGCAGAAAGGCGGAGGAGCAGCGGGAGAGGAGCCCGGCTGTGACGGAGGAAACCCGCGCAAGGCGCTGCATCCTCACGGGAGGGCGCGTGAGGGCGCGTGAGGGACTGCGGGGCGGGAGCGCGGGGAGGGCGGGAGCGCGGGGAGGGCGGGAGCAACCTGCCCGCACCCGGGTAACAAAGGCGGGACTACATCTCCCAGCATGCTCGGGCTCCGTGGGGGGGAGACAGCGGAGGTGGGCGCAGGACTCGGGTCTGCACCCGAGCCTGTCATCCCGCGGGGGTCGGCGGGGTGTGCGGGGCGGAGCTTCCCCCGGTTCCCCGCCCCCAGGCCGCGCCCGTTTCCCCCCCCATCTCCGCCCCGCGGCCCCGCCCCTCGCCCCACCCCAGCCGGGAGCCTTAGCCCGGGCCGCAGCGCGGCGGCCGCAGCCCGGCTCCCGCCGCCCCCGCTCCGCCCCGTCCCCTTCTGTTTTTCTTCCATTCTCCGGCGGCGACGGCGGCGGAGGCGGAGGCGGAGGCGGGCGCAGCAGCAGCCGCGCTGGACTGCGATGCCTGATCCCCGGGCGCGGGGACGGGGACTGCAGGTGAGCCTCTGCCCCCGGGAGGGCCGGGACCGTCGGCCGTTCAGGACCTGCCGCCCCGCGGTGGATCCCTAAAGAGAGGAGGAGGAGGAAGGCGCAGAGGAGGAGGAGGACAAGGACGAGGAGGAGGAGAAGACAGCTCAGCCGCCCACCCCCCATCCCATTTTCCTTTATCTCATTGTTGCCGACGCCGCTTGCGGCCCCAGCATGGGGCGCGCTGGGCCGGCGCGTCTCCCGCCGCTGCCCGGGGATTCTGCCTGAATCCGCCCGCCCAGCTCCCGCACCGCGGACCGGAGAGAGCTCCGTGCAGGCCCGGACCGCGGCGGCGGCGGCGGCGGCGGCGGGGCCGCCTCCCAGCATCCCCCCCCCCCTCGGAGGCTGAATGCGGATAGCGGAGCGGCGCCTGCGGGCTGGGCCGGCCCTGCTGATCCCGACCTAGGGGAGCCGGACGTCAGCGATCGCCAGGGCTGCGGAGGGAGGACGGAGCTGCAAGATGGCCAGCAAGACCAAGGCCAGCGAGGCCCTGAAGGTGGTAGCCCGGTGCCGCCCCCTGAGCAGAAAGGAGGAGGCCGCGGGTCACGAGCAGATCCTGACCATGGACGTGAAGCTGGGCCAGGTGACCCTGCGGAACCCCCGCGCGGCCCCCGGGGAGCTGCCCAAGACCTTCACCTTCGACGCCGTGTACGATGCCAGCTCCAAGCAGGCCGACCTGTATGACGAAACCGTGAGGCCCCTGATCGACTCGGTGCTCCAGGGCTTCAATGGCACCGTGTTTGCCTATGGCCAGACCGGCACGGGCAAGACCTACACCATGCAGGGCACCTGGGTGGAGCCCGAGCTGCGAGGGGTCATCCCCAATGCCTTCGAGCACATCTTCACCCACATCTCCCGCTCTCAGAACCAGCAGTACCTGGTCCGGGCCTCCTACTTGGAGATCTACCAGGAGGAGATCCGAGATCTGCTCTCCAAGGAGCCGGGCAAGCGGCTGGAGCTCAAGGAGAACCCCGAGACCGGTGTCTACATCAAGGACCTCTCCTCCTTTGTCACCAAGAACGTCAAAGAGATCGAACACGTGATGAACCTGGGGAACCAGACCCGGGCGGTGGGCAGCACTCACATGAACGAGGTCAGCTCCCGCTCCCATGCCATCTTCGTCATCACCGTGGAGTGTAGCGAGCGGGGCTCCGATGGCCACGACCACATCCGCGTGGGCAAGCTCAACCTGGTGGACTTGGCTGGCAGCGAGAGGCAGAACAAGGCCGGCCCCAGCCCCGCTGGCGGGCCAACTCCGCAGGCCACCGGGAGCGGTGGTGGTGGTGGTGGCAGCGGCGGTGGAGGCGGCGGAGAGAGGCCCAAGGAAGCCTCCAAGATCAACCTCTCCCTGTCTGCCCTGGGCAACGTGATCGCCGCCCTGGCAGGCAACAGGAGCACTCACATCCCTTACCGGGACTCCAAGCTGACCCGGCTGCTCCAGGACTCTCTGGGCGGGAATGCCAAGACCATCATGGTGGCCACCCTGGGGCCAGCCTCTCACAGTTACGATGAGAGCCTCTCCACCTTACGCTTTGCCAACCGAGCCAAGAACATCAAGAACAAACCCAGGGTGAATGAGGATCCCAAAGACACGCTGCTGCGAGAATTCCAGGAGGAGATTGCCCGCCTGAAGGCCCAGCTGGAGAAGAAGGGGATGTTGGGGAAGCGGCCACGGAGGAAGAGCAGCCGGAGGAAGAAGGCTGTGTCAGCCCCGGCCGGGTTCCCTGACGGGCCTGTGATCGAGGCCTGGGTGGCGGAAGAGGAAGATGATCACAACAATAATCACCAGCCGCCCCAGCCCATCCTGGAGACAGCCTTGGAGAAGAACATGGAGAATTACCTGCAGGAGCAGAAGGAGCGTCTGGAGGAGGAGAAGGCTGCCATTCAGGACGATCGCAGCCTGGTGAGTGAGGAGAAGCAGAAGCTGCTGGAGGAGAAGGAGAAGATGCTGGAAGATCTGCGGCGGGAGCAGCAGGCCACGGAGCTGCTTGCGGCCAAGTACAAGGTAAGGGCACCCAGAGGAGCTTGACAGAGAGGTCCCTGCCAGGGTCTTGGCTAGGAGGTTCTCCTTTGGGGGTCAGTAAGATGGCCTGAATTTGCCTAGACTCCTCAGGCAGGTTGCTGTGGTGATACTGGATGGCCAGGCACATGTACGTGCATGCACATGCGCAAAATGAAAGCAGCAGGTCCTCTTGAGACAATGAAGTTGGAGTGGCCTGACCTGCATCCTGCTGTCAGTAGTCCCAGAATGGATGGGGTCTGAGGGATGGCCAGGCAGGGCCTGGCCCCTTATGAGTGTAGTTCTTGCTCCCTGAACAGCCTCTTCTGGTACTTCCTCCTTCTGCACCATCTCCAGATTTCACACGCTATGAACAACATCTGGCACTAGCTAGCACTTCACAGTTTGCAAAATAGCTCACTTATATACATCTCTTTTGATCATTCTGATCTCTTAATCAGAATGACCATTCGGGATAGTGGTCTTATATCTCCATTTTACAGGTGAGAAACAAAGGCTCAGAGATGTGACAGGACCAGGTTTCATTCTAGAAAGTAGCAAAGCAGAGAGCTGGATGTCACAGACCTCATGCTTTTCAATGGCAAGACAGAAGCGTGAGTGGATTCCGCTTTCTATAAACGTGGCCCACTGGTTCATGCAATGCCAGGCCTATTCAGTGCTGGGTCCATTCCTTGGTATCATCAGGAAGTAAATTTTGAGGGCCAGGCAGGATGTAAGGTGGAAAGAAGGCTAGGCTCTGTACCGGAGACCTAGAGTCCATGTCTTTTATTCTACAGCTGGAGTGACCTTGTGAAATTTGTTGCCCTTTTTGTACAGTAGGTTAACCTGCAGGCTAGCCTGGGTAACCTAAGGCTCCACCAATCTGAAGATTTCATGAGCTAACAAACCAAGTGGCCTGCACAACCAGACTTGGTCTAGTTTCCCCATTGCCTTGGAACATGGCAGGGCCTCCATGTCCTTCCTGAGCCATTCCCTTCTTATGGGAGCCACCAGCCCTAAGTGAGGCCAAGCTAACTGAGCCAACCACAGACCCGATAACTTTCAATTCTGCAGGTGCCACAGCTCAGTATTCCAGCCACTTCCAAGTCCCTCTGGAGCCTCAACACTAGGGGTAGAAGGAAGGACACAGAGGACCGTGAGATTACTGAGAAGAGAAAAACATTGCTATGACTTACTCCTTCTTAGGAGTATGACCTAGGAACAAGGAAGCCCAGCCCACAGCCACTGAAAGAGCGACAGCCAGCCGTGTGCATTGTCTGTGTGCTGCTGTACCAGGGGCTCTGGCCTCGCGTGTTTAATATTTAATTCACCCACATGAGCTCTGCAAGGATTAGTCTGAATTGCTTCCTCAAGGGAAGGATCAGGGGTCTGGCATGGCTAGGGTCTATCCTGGGAGAAGCAGGTTGTTAAAGGCAGGCCTGTTAGGCCAGTGATGCCTGTTAGGAGAGAATCCAGCAGGCAAGCTGGTGTGGTCCACTGGGAAATCTTACCTGGTCCATCTGGTCATTAGTTTCACTAGGAAGACATCCCCTGTACCCTTAGGCTGTGAGATATTGGGAGCCACAGAGGATAAGAAAGGAGGAGAGTATAGAAGGATACTTCAGCTGCCTGAGGAAATGGGTAAAAGGGCAAGCTTCTTATGATTAGGAAATGGCTGGCTTCCCTCAGTAAGATTCTTCAGTCCAAGCCAATGCAAGGCACAGGTAATAGGACAGTCAAGAGATCAAAGTGTAGTCAGGCACAGTGGCATACACATGTATTTCCATTACTTAGTGAAAGTGGAAAGATTTCTTGAGCCCAGAAATTTAAGGGCAACATGGAAGACCTTATCTCGAATGGATGAATGAACAAATGAATGAATCAGTCAGTCAATCAGCCAAAAATCAAGGTGGTCAATGCTGGAATTATTTTTTGCACGTGTGCTGTTAATGGGTTTGAAATCAGGGCTTGTGTGCTGTCGCTTAATTTGGTACTCTACCACTAGAGCCACAGTACTACTTCCAGCCTTTTGATGGTTAACTGGAATTATGGGTTTTATGGAATTTCCTGCTCAGGCCAGCTTCACACCTCAATCCTCATATCTCAGCCTCCAGAGTAGCTAAGTGTGAGCTACCAGCATCAGGCTGGAATTCTTGTCCCAGAGTTGTAGCCTGTGCACCATAGGCTAGCAAGGACCTTGGGAAACTAAGGTATGGGAATGGTCCAGGTGAACTGAACAGAGCCCAGACTCATCACAGTCCAGCCTCTACATTGCTCTGGAGGCCTATGTTACCTATACTTCTTGATAATATGATAATAGGACATTTTTTTTTTTATTTTTGCTTATGTGCCAGTCCTGAGGCTTGAACTCAAGGCCTAGTTTTTGTGCTCAAGGCTAGCACTTTACTACTTGAGCCACAGCTATACTTCTGGCTATTTTGGTAGTTAATTGGAGAGAAAAGTCTCACAGACTTTCCTGCCAGGTCTGGCTTTGAACCTCAATCCTCAGATCTCAGCCTTCTGAATGGCTGGAATTATAGGCATGAGCCACCAAAACAGAGCAGAGTCATAGTTGTTTGTTTTTGAGTTTTTTGTTGCTGTTGCTGTTGTTGGTTTTTGTTTTTGTCAGTCATGTAACTTAAACTCAGGGCTTGGATACTGTTGTTAGAGCTTTTTCTCTCAAGGCTAGCGCTCTACCAGTTTGAACCATGGTGCTACTTCTAGTTGTCTGGTGATTAATTGGAGATAAGAGTCTGATGGACATTCCTGCCTGGGCTGGCTTTGAACTGTGATCCTCAGATCTCAGCCTCCCAAGTAGCTGGGATTATAGGCATGAGCTACTGGCGCCCAGCTTCCATTGTTTCTATTTTATTCAAATGTTCTTACTATTATTATAAACGTGATGTACAGAGGGGTTACAGCTTCGTAAGTCAGGTAAGGAGTACATTTCTTTTTTGACAATGTCACCCCTTCCTTTGCTCTCTCCTAGTTTTTCCCTTCCACTTCCACCTACAAGTTGTATAGTTCATTTTCAACATAGTGTCTAGTGAGTACCACTGCTGTGTTTGTTCACCTGTTGTGTCATTTTTTTTTAATGTAACACTTCAGCATCCTAAGCTCATTTAATCTTTCCAACAATCCCAAGGGATGGACTCTGTTATTTCCATCTGACAGATATGAAAACCAAGGCTGGGGTGGTGGAGGCTAACAACTGACACTAGTATTAGAACCCAGGTTTTCTGATGTCTGTCTCCTACCCCTGTGCTTTTTCCAACTTACCCCAGATGCCGTCATGTCTGCTCACTGTGTGACTCAGGGCAAAGGCCTTTGCCTCTCTAGGCCTCTGGTTTGCATCTGCTTAATGAGGAGGACAAGCCTGACATTGCTCCCTGGGAAGCGGGTAAAGTGGTCACCACACACAGGCATTCGGATCTAGGCAAAAGGGGAGCTCAGCCTGGGAAATTCCAGATGGGGAATGAGTCTGTATCCTGTGACTTCCAGTCACACCCAGTGGAGGGCAGTCTGAAGGGAGCCAGCTCGGAATGGAGTCCCTGACTGAAGACCCAACATTTCTGGCCTGAAGACCCAACATTTCTGGCCTAGCCCCAAAAGGGAGCACTGCCCACTTCAGCCCTGTTGTTTCTGGGATGCTGGAAACAATTTGCCTGGCTCCCTCTGGAGCCACAGGGTAGAGATAACAATCCAGGCTTGCCTCTTTCCCAGGCTGTGCTAAAGATTAAATGAGATCATTAGCAGGAGGGCATTTGAAATAGGTCAGAAAACGTCAAATAAGTGGAGGGCATTAGCAGCCACAGGGTGGCTTCTGTCTGCCAAGCAGGGAGTCCATGATCTTCGGGAATGACATCTTTGTTGTCAGCTTAAATCCTTCTTCCCTCAGCCACACCAGCTGCATCAGCATTGCCCTAGCCATAGGGAGCTTTTGCTCTCCATCTACAGCTCAGTCCTGTCTCCACTTTCTGAATTATGGCATTATCCCCAGTTTTTGCTGCTCCCCCACCCTATTCCCTGGGGCAGCTGAACAGTAGTTGAGGCGACCCAGTGCCCTGGTTCACTCTCTGACTCATCTTACAGTGTCGCCTACTCTCCCTGCCTGCCACCTCCAAGGCTCCCGGTTCTCTTTGTTCTCCCCCGGCTGTGTACAAACACCAGGCCTGTCTCCTCAAATCTCTTTTCATCTCTTCTTGTGTATCTACAACATCTGCTATATTTACCATGGGCCTTGGGGTTATGTGAGGGTGTACAGATGTGTGAGAATTTGTGATTGTGATCAGAGCTTGTTAACGTTACTCATCATTTGCGAGCTGATCTTAGGGAGTATCTCCAGAGGACTGGGAGGTATGAGGGCAGTCTTGGCCTGTGAAGTAGAAGGATTCAGTGACATCGGAAACCCACCATGCACAGGGAAGACTCAGCTGTTTGAACTGTACAGAGAAAACGCAAGCGCTTGTGTACATTGCGTACACTGAGATGTGACTGGTCAACATAGCGAGATTGCTTGATAGAAGGCCTGTTCTCCTCAAGTGTAATTAGGCAAGACATCTTTCCCATAGCTGCTTTAACTTGAAAATTAGAGGGTTTTTTTTCAAGGGTTGAACTAGATGTTTTTCTACCACTCTGATTTTAGCAACTCAGGGAAAGGAACATGTTTGCAGGAGGCAGAGGTTGCAGGCTTAAATTGAAGCAATCCAAAAAAAAGCTCTAGGTGTGATCCACAGTATGTAGATCTGCCAGGTGAGGGGGGGTGGGGGGAGGAGGGCGCTTGGCTACAGCTCAGCCTCCTCTGTGGTGTGTGTAGAAAAGAAGCCCTGCAGAAATGGCCCCCAAACCCAGAAGGATGAAGTCACCACAGTACAGCACAAACTGCACTGAATTTTCACTGTCTGCTTTGTGGGTTGTTCTGCTGCTGTGACATGAGGTTGTCAGCCATACAGGAGGGCACAAGAGGGGGCTTTCATGCCTGAGAAAAACCACTACTAGCAGGATTA